CTTATTTATTTTGTATTTGTCATTTAAAGACCTGAAGTAAGATAGGGCATCCATTAAACTTTTGGACCCGGGCATCACAGAAGCTCTGGGCGGGCCTGTTTACATGTAATAAAATTTCATACCACACGTGTATAGCAACAATAAATTTGAAAGTTAACACTTCGTTCAAAACTGCTTTGCAGTCGCTTAGAGTTTCCGAATCGTCCGTTTTATTTTTCAAGTCATTCACACATTCAATAACACATTCAATAACAAATTCAATAACACATTCAATAACAAATTGCAACAATATAGCTTTTACTGCTCCTATTCTACTCTTCCACTTTTATTGCGTTCATGCTCTTAGGTAACAGCTGATACATTCGACTTTGATGCTGGTTCTGTTTCAGAAACTAAAAAAACTTGGCCAAGAGATTCATCAGAGGACTCTGGAGCACTAACAGTTTAAAGAGGTTTCTTAAGAAATTTGATCATACTGAAACTCATAGCTTGGTTTGATTTCCGAGTTTCAGTCTTTCTTTTTCTTTTCGATGCACCATATTTCCATGTTCTTCCCATATCTCTGTCTCTCGTTGGTTTTGCAGACAAAATTTTGGACTTATGTTACTAGAATTATAAATTTTGATTTTAGTTATTTTTTTTATGGTATTAACTTTAGGTCGAGTTATAAAAGAAGCAGAATATTTTTAAATAACTTTTTAAATTTACGTGTAATTAGTTAAATAAAGAGTTAAATTTTATTTATAACAGTTTGTAATATTCACTTTATTTAATATTTAAATTATAACTTAATAAACTAAGTTAGTCAGGTTATAATAAGATAAATTCGAATTCATTTTCATTTCTCAAATTTTATAATTATTTTTCTAATAATTTGACGCGTGTCATGTGCTGTAATCGAATAAAAACTGAATAGAATGAGACAATCGAATTTTTTATAGATCTAGAATCAAATATTAACATTCCTTTATAGTTAACAATACGTTACGCCTCAGAGCCCGTAAAAAATGACAAGCGATATTTAAAAATGCTTTTATGTTATCAGAAATAATTAAAATAAGATTTTAACTGTTTCTGATAACATAAGTGAGAAAATGATATTTAAAGTTGAAGTATTATAACACCGAAGATAAAACTGACAAATAAACATATTCTCGTCCGGCAACGCAAATTAAGATATGTAAAAATATCATCAATTATAATTAAGATTAGGATTGCCAGATATACGGTTGCCTAAAGGAGGACATGGAAAAGCCAAAAGTAGGACAAAGGAGAACATAATTAATTTTAGTAATACAAAATACCGGAAGGTTTTTAAAATTTTCGGGCGCTCATAGTCTTTTTTAAGGCGAAGGACGAGACTCCGATGTTCTTTAACCACGGTAATAAAACCGGGTGAGAATAAACAACAAAGTAATACCTTTTAATGTTATATAAGAAAATGTTATATAAAATGCCAAAGTTGATTTAGCTGCGTAGGCTTTCTGCAATATCTTTGAATTTTAGGTTGAAAAAAGGACGTCAACTTATTCAATGATCCTAACACTTTGATTAGGTTTATATGTTTCTCACTGTTAACATGGCGCTTTAAGTCGATAGATTCCTTGTTAGCGATGGACAAGTAACTATCACATATTGCACAATTTGCCTCATTCTCGTTGCGCCCTTAAGCAAAGCATGAATACTTATTTTTTATATTGCTTGAGAACTTGCATTTTCTCTTTGTAGAAATTGATGTCATTTTTAAAAAGAAAGTTGCAACCAGGGGTGTGAACTTGTAAAAAAAAATTACCCACTCCGACTCCAATCGTTGAAATTTTCAAAGTTTTTCGGCATCAGAGTCGTGACTCCAACTCTAATTCTAAAAATCTTAGAATTCTTTAAAAAATATTACGCGATAATTAAAATTTTTTTTCTATTGCCTTATATATGAAAATATTTTTGAAGATTAAATATTTTGTACATGTACGTGCAATACTAAGAAGTTTTACTATTGGAATCGGAGTTGCGATTTTGTTTAGCGACTCCAACTTAACACAACTACAAATGTCGCGACTCTGACTCCATATCTTCGACTACATAGTCCTGGTCGCCATTCAATTTAAGTGTTGTTATTGCTATAAGAGCGTAAGTAAAAACTAAATAAAGACAAAATGTGCAAAAATGAGGTAAAAACGTTTTAATTAAAAAAGAATAGATCTATACTTTTTAAGCTTTTTGATTCTTTTGCCGTTCTATTGAACAACAAAAGAACGCGCAAATTATTCAGTTTTGAGAACAGTTTTTATTTTTTTATTATCTTAATTCATCTTTCCAAAGTCGAGAAGGCCACTACCGACGAGAAGGCGACTTGTTTGTGTTATAACTCTTTCTGAACTCTATACCTCCAAAAAACGAACCTTGACGAACAAAGCCACTGCGCGGAGAAAAAAGTTGAGCGCGATACTACCTGGGACATTCCTATGGATCGAACTCGGAACCTCCCGCTCATTAAGCGAGCATTTATTAAGCATATAAAAAAGTTGAAAAATTAAAATAATAAAAAAGCCGGACATTTTGAATGTTTTCAGCTTTGACTGCCTGACAAAGGACAAAGGATAAAAAAAAGGAGGACATTTCCTCATCAGAAACAAAGACATTTCCTGCATCAGAAACAAAGGATCCGTGGTTCAAATCTCACCTCTGGGCAAGTTTTGCGACATCGGTTAGGAAGGAAGCGTGAGCTTCCTCGTCCGCGGTGCTCTTAGATAAGACCGTAAAGACTTTTTGGCGCACCTAAATAAAATTAAAAAAAAAAATGTGCATAGACGATTTTAGGGCGGAGAGGGTGAGGGGGATCCCGTGAAGAAATTGATTTTCAAGTTTTAGTTGGTTTTTTAACGAATATAGTCGGGTAGTCTGGTATTAAACACAATTCATTTGGGTGAATTTTAGTTTTGGGGACCTTTTTTTAATTATTGTTATTTTTTTTTATGGAGCCCAGTCAGGTACTTTTTATAGATTTCACCCCTCCCCCTCATTGTTTTCTCTCTCTCTCTCTCTCTCTCTCTCTATATATATATATATATATATATATATATATATATATATATATATATATATATATATATATATATATATATATATAAATATACAAATATTGTATTTAATATTTAAAATAGAAACACTGTTTTTAGTTTTTTTTTAGTGTATTTTAGTTGGCACAGCGTTCTATTATGCGTATATATATATATATATATATATATATATATATATATATATATATATATATATATATATATATATATATATATATATATATACAATTATTGTATTTAATATTTAAAACAGAAACACTGTTTTTAGTTTTTTTTAGTGTATTTTAGTTGGCACAGCGTTCTATTATGCGTATATATATATATATATATATATATATATATATATATATATATATATATATATATATATATATATATATATATATATATATATATTAAACCTACATAGTTAAACTAAAATAATTTAGAAATAACAATTAAATACAATAAGAAACTTATGATAAAAATTTAATAATTTTAAAACATGTTTTGTTTGGTGATTGGTTAAAAAAAAGTTATGAGGTCTAAGTTTTTTTTTTAAAGCACCATGTTGTAAGGATTCATCAGAAAAAGTAAGAATCATCAATCGATAAAAAAAATCAACTTAACAAAAACCATCTAGCAATTTATGAAGATTTTGATCAAAACAATAATGAAGTCGTGCAACATGTGCGTTATAAGATAACATAAAAATAATGAACAAATAAAGAGCATAGAAAACTCTTGTCTCAACTCTTCAATTTTGAAAGCATACTTTTGATGTCTCTACTCTTCAAACAACAGCAAACATTTAAATTTACGTTTTTTAAATTACAATAAAACAAAAAAATTATTTAACAAGGTGCTTTTTTTTTGTTTGTTTGTATTTTTATTCCTTAAACTCATGAGTTTTTATTTCTATTTGACAATAAATCATATTTAATATTTCAGAACTTGATTTATATCAAATATTTTAATGAAGATTTTTATATATTGTTTTTCTGAATAAATTTTACTCTTTTAGAAAAATAAAAGGAGGGGAAGAACACAGTTTTATATATTTTAAAATGATTTTACTTTTTTACAAAAAAAAATTCGTAAAAGTTTATTTATGTCTGTATTTTAGCTGGGCGTTCTATTTTGAAATATACATTTAAACAAAATATGTAAACAACAGGTTTTTTTTTTTTTTAAATGAGTTAAAAAAGTAACTATATTTATGTTAATTAAATCAACGCAATTTAATAAGAAATAAAAAAGGTGTAAATAAAATCTTGTTGCAAAGACTGTTGCAAAGGTGTTGCAGTAAATTATTGCAATTATTATTGCAACGGAAGTTCGTTATATTAAGACTTTCATTAAAATGAAAACTAGTGTCAATAAATTTTCTGTATTAAAAGGACAAAACAAAAAAAAAAAACGAAAGAGTTTTAAATAAAACTAATCGACACTGTTAATTTAATTTATCAATAAATAAAATCTCTTAGGGGAATATCAAATTCATTTTTCTTTTTTGAATAAAAATGTATAAGACCCCTATAAACAACTTAAAACGTTAAGCTTTGGATAGAAAAGCAAATCGATAAAGTTTTTAACTGACAACAAACAAAATTAAAAACCTTAATTAACAATTATTATGAAAAAAATAAAAATAACAATGGAAATAAAATTAAATACACTGAGTTAAAGTGTTTTGAAATAACGACTTTGCTTTTTTTCAATGACCTTTTGTTATTGAAACAACAGTTTTAAAGTAGGAAACCTTTTTCTGACCTGCAAAGAGGCGTCTTCTTCTAGGTTTCACTGGGAGGAAAAAACAACTTTATCTTACCAAATTTTCTGAGACTGATGTACACCATCTGTGTCTATTTCATTTGATTAACTCCTATTTTTAAACTTTTTCTCTATTCATAAACTAAAATGAACTATTGTGTGGAATATGCTTACTAGATGTTTTGATAACAGGCTTTGACCATCTGGTTTTCGTTTTATTTAAAATGCGCTGAAAAAAGGAAGTTTATGTCAGATCAGCATCAAAGTAATAAAAACTTTGTTGTTGTTTTTTTCAGCAAACGCATCAAAGTTATGCCTAGATCATTTTTAGTTCGTCGTAACATATATACAAGTAAGTTGTTTTAAATATAATTAATTTGTTATTGTAAGGAAGATTTTAGTTACAGGCATTAATTAGTAGTTGACATGGTCATTATTTAAGAAGTGTAAACTTTGAGATTATGAGCGCTTAAGAAGTGTAAATTTTAAGATTATGAGTGCGAACTTGAGTAGAAAAGCATGGCGAAGAAATTTTATCGTGCAACTACTTATAGAGATAACTGCCGTGATGTCATAATTGCAATCTATCATGCAGATACATAAATGTCTAACATGTAAAGAAATTAACAAATACAAAAATATGAATGAATATTAATTGAATAAAGCGGATAAAATGAAGAAAAGAAACCTTTTAGACTTTTTTTTTTTTTATCATAGTGAGTGAAAAATCAAGTCATTGATAATATTTGATCATTTTGAACATTTGGAATCATTTTGATCATTTTGATTTGAAGTTGTTTACTTTTAAGTTGAAGTTTGTTTACTTTTAAAACTTTTTACTTTAATTTTGTTTAAAAAAAAACACAAGTAAAACACTTTTCAAACGCTCCAAATTACTTAGAATATTTAGTCATTTTTAGAAATTATAAAAAAACATAACGTTTAAAAAAAAATAAATATTGCAAGTGTTTTTTAATGAACTGTTAATTTTAAAAAATATTATTTTTTGGCAAAATTATTTGTTAAAAGGTGTATTTATTAAACAATCGATTCTCAATTATCGAGTGATATTGACTCTCTATTTAAATAAACAGTTTTTAATATTTAGAGATAGAAGATTGTTCCAGTAGCAGTGAAAATGAAGAATGGCATTTTTTGGCTGGAAACGAATCTGTTAGCTCATCACTAACAGACATAAGTAATAAATCTTCAGCTTCGTATCACAGTTCGAATATTACTTTAAACTCTATCATTCAATACGATAAAAAGTACATTCAAAATGACGAAGCTTCTCTGCAATGGGACCCATGCTCTCCCGCTTTAATAGACGATTCGATAAACTGCAAGCCATTCAGTTGCAGCATGTGCGGGAAAACATTTCGTTTGTCTAGTACTCTTTGCAGACACAAAATTATCCACACTTCACAGAGACCTCATAAATGTTATATTTGCTTCAAATCGTTTAATCGCTCATCAACATTAAAAACACATCTTAAAACTCATTGCAAGACAAAAGAATTTGTTTGCAAAATTTGTGGAAAAGGATTTCATCAAAAAGGTAATTTAAGAAATCATTCATTAATACACACTGGAGAGAAACCTTTTACATGCCCTGTTTGTACGAAAGCATTTAATAAGCTATCAAATTTAAAATTTCATTTGCATCGACACACAGATCAAAAACCTTATCGATGCAGATTTTGCAAATTATCAATGACTCGACGTGGTGAGCTGAAGCACCATATCTCAATTTATCATTCCGAGGCATTGTAATATTTAAATTATATTCGTCGCCTGTGTTTATTAAATGTTGACTTAAACAAAATCCAGTCGACCATTTTTGACGTAATAATAAAACGTTTACAAATACTTTAGACGTCATAATAAATTTAGTGTTTTGCTCATTGATTTAAAAAATAAAATATTTGAACAAAGGAGGAAATGTTTATTTTTTCAGCCAAAGATGCAAAATTTGTTGAACAGATGTTACATTTTATAAATTTGATTGGAGACTGCATCTTAAAAAAAATCTGCGTAAAGTATTAATAAAATGTAAACCAAGTTTTTGCTACCATCCTTATCAATCAAAATATTTAAATATGAAAAGCTCAATTATATTAATTATTAAACTATATAGATTATATATTATAATAACTAAATTTATAAATATTGAAAAGTGTAAATATTTATATATTTTTTAAAATACAAATTAAAATATAAAACAGTCATATAAATAAATATATATATATATATATATATATATATATATATATATATATATATATATATATATATATATATATATATATATATATATATATATATAATAATAATGATAATAAATATATATATATATATATTTATTATCATTATTATTGTTATTATTATTATTATCAAATAATAATATATATATTAAAAATTAAAAATAGCAAAAAATTCTTATTTGCTGTTTTTAATTTCGTAATTACACTTCATTTTTAGTAACATTTTCAATAACTATCAAATTGCTGAAAAATTTTTCAATATTATTTAAAAATTTTCATCAGCAAAATAGCATGTGTCCATTTTTACCAAATGCGAACTTTTTCCACAAACTAACTAATTATTATGTTTGTTTGTGTTATTACGATAAACTAACTTATTATTAATTTTATGGAAAAAAAATTTTTAATGATAAAATTAGATTTTTCCGAATACCGAATGCAGAATAATTGGCTCGGCCGAAACAACCGAATATTCGGCGACGCTTAATCATTTTGAGGGTTTCGACCTGCTTCATTGAAATGCATATGTTAATTGCGCTGTGGGCGTTTTTATTTCATTTGTGACTATGTCGTGTCATAGTGTCATAGCACGCTTTATTTGTTGACAGTTAAATCAAATTGTTTTAACTATAGCTATGTCATAATCTTACAATCATTCGACAAATTACAAAAATAACTAATTTAGGTATATCTTATATTTTTGAGGGAATTTCAAAAGGTTTCACAGATATATCACAAAGAACTCCAAAATTATTATAAATGATATCTTTACTACAGCCTGAACCTAAAGCATGGTTTAACCGTTTTGGAGAAAAACAGTTTTTACGGTTGCATTTTTATGGGAAAAACAGTTATACGGTTATATTTTTACACTAGAACGCCTTTACAATGTCTATTAGACATTGTAAAGACGTTCCAGTGACCATGGCCGCCGAGAGCTTTCATGACACTCGGGGCATAGCAGCAGTTAAGTGCCCCTATAAGTTTGACTATTAAAAATAAAAAGCATGTACAATTATACAAGTTAATGACTTGTTCTCATTTCTAATGACTTGTTCTCATTTCCCTTACTCTCTGATTATGATTAACATTTACTTTGAAATTAATATTGAAAATCTTAAAAAATTTAATTTTTTAATGCAACACTACCCCTGTCGCAGAAGATGATCAACCTTTAAGTAAACTAAAGTTGTTTAATAAAAAATGATTGTAGGGCCATTATAGAACATGAGCGTGGATTGGACATACACGTTGAAAATGAACTGGATACAACTCTGTCGTAAGTTGACGTAATAACAGTTCTAGTAAAAAAGCAAGAAAAGAGTGTGGAGACCTCTGACATTGAAATGACTTCTTGAGTCAACTAATCATTCAATTGCCAACTCAAGCAGCCGGTTCTAGTTGCAATTTGACTTTGAGGTTGTTGGGTATTAGTACTCCAAGGTCTTGTTCAATGCATGCTAAAACTAGATTGCGTCTTTTACCAACAATGTCAGCTTTGGTATTATTAATTAGCTTTTGCTACAACCAACTTACATTACTTAACACTTCTCGACGTTAAAATTCACACGGCAGTTGTGCGACCAGTTTACAGCGCTGTCGACGTCTGCTTGCAGCTTTTCATTATCAGAGAAAATATTTGACATTGATAACTCATGTGATGTTGCCATTATTGGCGTTTAATTTAGTACGGTTATAAATTCAATCTGGTAAGTCATTTATGAAGAACAAATATAACAGTGATGTAAAAACTGATCCTTGAGGGATCCCACTTGTAACCCATTCCCACTTGGACGTTTATTATCCAATTATTGTCAATTAGCTTGTAATACCAATGATCTAGTTTAATAGCTGGTCTCAAATGCCATACGCATGAATCTTATGAAGAAGTCGTTAAGTGACACTGTGTTGAATGCTTTGGCAAAGTCGATAAAAATTATATAAAACAGATGTCGACGGTAAACTGCTTCCTTTAAAATACTATGAGATTCAATCAGGTTTGTAAGGCAACTTTTGAGATGCATAAACCCATGTTGAGACTTTGATATTAAATTGTGCACAGTATTTCATAATCTCATATTAACTATCATAATTTTATAATTATGATAGTTATCTCTGCCAACTTGGTATAGGTGAGAGACTCCAGCTCCTTGTTATAAGTTTTTATTTTAATCAACTTGCAAACACCAGGTCTCAGTTAAACAAATTAAATGAAAAGAATTTTCTATTTCACAAATAAAATTTTAAAAGTTTCGAATTATCTTTTGAGCTTTGAATATTAACATGGACATCAAGATCACTTTTATTACCTTTTTTTTTTAAAGTTGCAAATCTCGTTACGATAAAAATAATAACTTTCAAAATCTGGAGAATAAGTTAAAGTTTAATGTTTCGTTGTTTAAGTTTAATGTATTGGTTTCGTCGTTTAAGTTTAATGTATTGGTTTCGTCGTTTAAGTTTAATGTATTGGTTTCGTCGTTTAAGTTTAATGTATTGGCTTTCAAATAAGTTAAATATTTTTTAAAAAGCATTATCAACTGTATCCAAAAAACAGTTATATTTTTAACAAAAAATATTGATGTACGACAATATGAAAGTCTATTAGGAAGACTTAGTGGTTAGGTTAATGAGTACTACTTTAGCGAATTTACCTATTTTATCGCAATTCATTTGCTTTTGCAAACAGTTATTATTAAATGCTCATCGTTCATTCAAAGTAGTCACGTTAATAAATATTTTTTCGTTTCACAACTTCATCATATTTTAACTAAATGCTTTCGCGATCTTTGAAGTTGAAAAATTTTACAACAATACTTAATGTACTTTTTATTTGTTTTCCATCTTCCTTGTACAATGAGCTTTTTGAATTTTTATATTCCCTTTTAAGTAGCTATTTAACTTTTTCCTCGCTATTTTCTTAAGTTTCTTCCTCCGTATCGTCCATTTCTTCAAATTTCAGATTCTTTGAACAAATTCTGTCTTATCAACTTGTCTTTTACTCTCTTGTTTTTGATTGGTTTAATTTTAATTAACTCTTGAAATTTTATTGTTAACTAAATTCTCTTTCATTCATTCATTTTTTTCATTTAGGAGGCTCGTATTTTAATTTGTTTCGCTTAGCTCTTGCTATATTTTTTCATTTTTTTCCTTTTAAAAAACGTAATGCCAGTTGAAAATTATCATTGAAAATTTTTGTAAAGGTTTTGTGCACCATATTTCTTTGATTTGTGATATAAATTTCTGGATATTTTTTTTACTTTAGTTTAGATATTAGAAAAAAGCAGAAAGTTATTATACGCAAGCGCAGTAGGACTTTAAAATTTTGAGAAATTTTAAAATGTCCCAAGCTACAGAAAAAGTTAATTAAACTATCAATTATTTGTAAATTTAAAGTGTTTCTAATTTTTGATTTTGTTCAAGTAAGATTATATTTAAATTAAATACTGGAATTATTATTTAAAACACAAAAAGAAACATTTCAATATAAAAAAATAGACACACATTTTTGTGATTTGTTTACAAAATTAAAAACACTTTTGCTCATTATTTGAATGAATTAAAATTTGTCTATTGTTTCAGTTAAATAAGATTTTTCTTTTTTCGTTAGTTGGTTTAGGTTTGTGGATTCGATTTTTTATTCTGCATAAAAAAAAAAAAAAAACATTTTGTGCTAAATTTGTAATAAATTAACAAGCTTAACTTTGCAAAAAAGTTGCACTATCAATTACTTTGTTTTTGTTCTTTATCATAGTCTACTTTTTCAGTTGTTGTTTTTATTGTCAAATCAGTATGATGGTTAATTACTTTTATACACAGTCAGTTGTTGCTAAGCAAATAAGATTAAATTGAACCACATGCACTAATGCCACAAATTAGTATTAAATAGTTTTTAAGGATGTCGATGTATCTTTGTTGGTCCATTCGATCACTGTATAACATGTGTAGACCTGGTCCATTATATGTGATGCAGCCCCTAATACCAAATGCACCACGTACACCTTGTAGTATAGGTACAATACAACGATTATTATACTTTTCATTGTGGTGCCTACGGACATGTGATTTGTTTTTACGATTTAGGATGGTAAAACTAGATTCATCACTAAGAAAAATTTTTCCTTATTCATAATTACTCATTTTTAAAATCGTTTTGCAAAATTTAATTCGTTTTAAACGGTCTGTTGGTTTTAATAATGTTTTTCTGGCAGCAACATAACACCACAGCTTACGGTCTATTAGTCTTCTATTAACTGTTTGCCTAGATATTTGATTTTTAAGTCCCAGGTTTGTTTCTTGTGCAATCTGTTTGCTGAGTATTAGGATTTTTTTGGCAGATCTATAAATAGAGTTATCATCACGTCGCCCACAACGCTTTTTGTTAGCAATACTGTTGCCAGTTTCATTAAACTTAGAAATAGCTCTATTTACACATTATGGTAAAACATACTTTAAAATTTGAGATGTTTCAATGTTAGAGTGACCGCCCATAGTAAGGCCAATAATATGCTGATTGAATTCTTGACAAAGTTTTTGTTCCCATGGGAAATTCCAAGTTTCTATTATTACTATAATCTAGAATTAAGCAAAAAAAAATAAACTAGTTTAAAACAAACTTTTAAAACACAACATACTACTTTAAATATATTTTTGTTTTCATTAAAAAGGAGAGTTTAATTTACTATGATGCAACTTTTACCGCAATAAATTTATAAAAGTTCTCTTTAAAAGCTTCAAGAAGAGCTAGCGAGCTAAACTTATAAGCAGCTTTTTTTTAAAGCTTAAAATACCGCCTAATATATGTACTTAAAAAAGTGAATGTGCCTAAGCAAACTTTTTTTTTAATTTTCTGTCTTATTTTATCTGGTTATGTCTAGTTAATTGATAAATAGAAGAAAACTTTTTTTTAAAGCTTTACTAACTGAAAAAATAACATATATGGAAAAAAGTAAATTTAATTCTGCTGCGTGCTAAACTTTTGAGCACTATTGTATATCAAGTTTTACAGTTTTACTTTCGCTTGAAAATGGCATTGCGTCAACCTCTCATTAATTTTTGATCTGCAGCCCTGATTTAAACTTTTAAATAAGAAATCGTCCATAAATTACGCAACGCTAAATTTCGCTTAAGAACAAAACAAAAAAGATCAAAATTTTCCCTCGCGGAGTCCTATGTTAAATAAAAATATAAATAGCTCATCAAGTTTAATGAAAATTGCTACCTAAAAAAATCTTCTACTTCTTTTTTAAAAATAAATTTTGGGTTGCAAATTTTATGGACGATCCCTAAGCGTTTTATAGTCAATAGTTTTGTAGAGCGTTGTGTACAAACGTCTGTAAAAGTAAACGTCATTAGCTCATGTTGAGTTTGCAGGCAGAATATGGAAAATTGCGTTTAATAAATCTATAAAAATGAAAACACTTTTGAATTTTATTTTAACAACTAGAAATTTTTTTTTTTACCACTGAGCTATCAATGATATGCCTTTTGGAGAAAAATAAACCTAATTATAAATCTCTTATCAGTGTCACCAAGAGGGGGGGGGGTCACGAGGGACAGTTTGTCCCGGGCGGCAGATATACAAGGGGCGCAAAATGAAATGTAAGTACCTAAAAAAAAAAAATCTTTTATATATAAGATAGGAAAAATTTGATAAATAAGGGCGCCAATTAGGATTGCTGTCCCTGGCGTGACAGCTCTCGCGGCCCTGTCTCATGAGCTCAATGTATATTGAAAGGGTGCTCATGTTAATTTTTGCTCTTAAAGCATTTTTTTTTAATTAATTATTTAACGTAAAAATATTGAAGTAAACAAATCATAGGTATAGAAATGATCGGTGTGGAATAGATAAGTATAGAAAAGAAAGGTTTGGTAAAGACCCGTATTTTATGGGTCCCAAAGGCTAGGCTATTATATAAGGCTATTATATTAGGCAGGGCCAACAACCGAAGTCGGGGTGATTATGCCCCCCCTACTTTTTTCCAAAAGCCCTTTTTTTAGAAAACCACACGACAACCAATTATCTTTGTGAATATGCCCCCCCCCCCTACTTTTTTCCAAAAGCCCTTTTTTTTAGAAAACCACACGACAACCTTTGTTGTCTTTGTCTTCAAAATGCGGATAATTTAATATATAATAATACTTTTAATGGTTTGACAAATTGATGGCTCACGTGCTATTATAATTATTTTTTTGGGTCCGTTCTATAAATTACAAGTTTCAAAGCAAAATAAAATGCATAGAAACTATTTTATTTCAAATTAAACAAAGATATATATTATTTAATATATATATATATATACATATATATATATATATATATATATATATATATATATATATATATATATATATATATATATATATATATATATATATATATATATATATATTATATAAATTATCATATATATTATATAAATTATCATATATATTATATAAATTAGTTAAAACATGCTTGTACTTAATTAAAATTCTCATAGAGCTGTAGATGGAAGCCACTTTTTTTGTTATTCATCTCCTCAAAGCCGAGAAAGCCACTACAGACGAACAGGCTACTTAATAGTGGTTATAACCCTCTCTCAACTCTATAACTCCGAAACACAAACCTTAACGAACAAGGCCGCTGCGCGGAGAAACGAGTTGACATAGGCGTTACCAGCATCATTTCATCTGACAATTTGAAAACAGTTTATCACAGTTAGGTCCATCCAATCCGCCACCATTATTCCCATGCCGCATTACTGTATTTTTGTTGAAAAAGGATTTCAGTCCTTCATTGACAATAAGAACTTTAACAATTTTTACAACATTCTCGTACATGTGAAGTTCTGGAGGAGGGATAGTATCAAGAATAAACTTACGGGATCTTCCTCAAGCAAACACGTGGTAAAAATATTATTGAGCAATTTCATTGTCTTATAAGAATATCCTGCATCTTGGTATCGATTGTAATCTGAAATGAAGGAGGCAAAAGTTCTCAAATCACCTAACGAGCTAATTGTACTAGTACAGTAACAACAAGCTTTTCACTATGACTCTCTAATAAATTGTTTTGTTATTCTAAGATTTAATGTTTTAATAGATATTTGTAAAAAATTAGGCGAAATATCTATCTGATATGCCAAGAAGTACGCTTATGAGCTTTAGGTCAGAAGCCACAAAAAAGTTGAGCTGATTTAGATTAATTTAATCATTCTAAGATTATGGTTATTCTCCTTAAAATTATGTGCAAAAGCCAGAATTATCATCTTGTTCAATCGTGAATCTTTCTCATTTCTACTTTGGTCCTCTAACTTTGCTTTATCAAAAATATTCATTATTAACTGAAAATTAATCACAATTGAATAATAATTCTAATTTTGCTTCTTTTATTTGCGTAATAAAAAAAAAAGGTTAAGTTACTGAACCTTCATTGAACTCTGTCTTCCAACGCTTCATAACCGTAGCAATTGAATTCTTTTTAAGATTTAGTTTTAAAATCCCATACTGTAGACTACGTGAATTATATTAACTATTATAAATTTTTGAAAATAAATAAACTAATATACCACCGTTTAATTTAAATTATAAAATATTAAAACACCTAGATGACCAAGAATTACTTTTTGTAAATCTCTAAGAACATCACGAAACACATTTTCATGGTTTTTCTTGATATCAAGTATCAGTTAAGACTAATTTATTGGTTTGAAGCTTAGGTTTTAGTACTACAGGTAGCAGCGAGCCTCCTAAAATAAGAATAAATTATCGCAACAAGTCATTATAAATAAAAAAACCAATAAATAAAAAACCACCAGTGGATAATTGTAAAGAATTTTCAGCCTTTACTTAAAGCTTTACAACAGTTGAGGTTATTTGCTCTGACATCTTTCTACCCTTGAAAAGAATAAGATTCTTAGAATTTTGAACAGCAGATGTTCTTGTGCTTGGGAGCCCAATGCCCTTTCCAACTAGTTGAAAACAATCTGTGCAGAATGAGTTTAAATATTCAATCCAAAAATTTGGCTCAATGATATAATCTCTCAAATTAAAAAACTTGTGGCTACGCTTAAATCGGCAAATTCTTCAAAAATGTAACTTTAAAATTGTTACACTGTTAAAAAACTTGCCGTATTTCTATGTTTGAATTTGCAATACATCTTATATAAGATAAAAAGTACCTCAAAGACTAGTCAAAATAAGTATTTAAATAAAAAGATGTATATAAAAATTGTAAAACAAAAATAATAATAAAAATTACATTATTAGTCATGAAAAAAAGATTTTTAAATTATTTTAGTACTGTTAAAAATGATAGTTCAAATAACCAAATAAAATTAATATCGGTTAATAAACAATAACCGAAAATATTAAAAGATATATTAGCCTTCCAGGCCTCTCGCCACAAGACTTGCAAAAACTGTTAGTACCATCTTTGGCTTCACTTCCACAAGATCTTCAGCTAAAGCATACGTTCGCGCCCCAATCTTTCGACACATAGAGATAGCATAAAGGGCGTTCATAAGACGCTCCTAAAGATATATTTATAAAAATAAAACAAATATTAAACCATATTAAATTTCATATAAAAAACTTCATATTAAAAATCTCTATTATTTAAATAAAATACATAGTATATATTTTATTTAAAGAAAAATTGATTTTAAGTTTTACTACAAGTTAAATGTAGCATGATAATAGTTTGAAAAATCCCTCTCCCCCTTCCTCTCCGCCTTGACATACTAAACATAAATTCGAATCTTTCGTTTGACGCATCAAATGCTGTCATTGAATCCATCGTCCAAGGTTATATGTACTCTTATTGGTTGAACTTTGTAGGTCTATTGATTCGTCTGACGAGGTTTCTTGAAGGATTGCTATTTTTTGAGAATTTTTTTTGTAGAATCTCCTTCTTGGTTGTCTTTTTTAAAAGTTTTTTTACAATTCTTGCCTTTTTTTGAAGATGCAAGCATTTCTTTTTCCGGGGTATCTGTGGTTGTTATTAATCTCCCCTTCGTTAATGATTGTGTAAATAGAAATATACAAAACTTTTATAATTGTTCATAGGGAATTACGTAGCAATCATTACAGTAGGAGGAAGTCAAACAGTGTAAACAGTGTTCGAAGTTAGTCTGGGTGTATTAAAAATTCAAAGAAAATGCTTGAAATTTATTTATAGATTATAAATGCTTATAATTCCATTCGTCCATGGTGACCGTTTGTTTTTTAACAGATTTTTATATATATATATACACACACATATATATAATATATATATATATATATATATATATATATATATATATATATATATATATATATATATATATATATATATATATATATATATATATATATATATAAATATATATATATATATATATATATATATATATATATATATATATATATATATATATATATATATATATATACACACACACACACACACACACACACATATATAATATATATATATATACATATATATATATATATATATATATATATATATATATATATATATATATACAAAAATGAGCATATATATGTTGTATATATATATATATGCTCATATATACATATATATATAGTTTTACAGCATTCAACAAAAAGAATGTTTTATGAAAAATCGAAAAACTTACTTCTTCATTTTCACCTTTGGTAACAAGATCATATTGAATAGATTCTGGTACTATTGCATCCACAAGATCAATCACAGCAAGACTTGTAGATATTGATGGATCTTTAAATGAAGTGATTGAAGAAGTTTTACCAGCATCACTTAACTAAAAAAAAATTTAAGTTGATTTCATTAAAATTTTAATGATTAAATTTAATTGGGAATTCTTGTTTCTCTAATTGGGAGATTTACAAATATGCAGTAATTATTTTCTTAGTGTCTTAGGTTTGGTAATTATGTTTTACCTAACTTAAGACTCTCATAATCTACAATTTGAATTATGATTCTATTTCTAAAATGGCTAATTTAAAGTACAGGCATATATTATAGCAAATTACATGAATTATTTATTATGTTTATTTATCAGAAGTAATAACCAAAACTGATTAGATACCTATTTTTAGATAAACAATTAAACTAAATTTGTAAAGTAAATTTGCCCTCAGCAAATAAAACAGTAGTCGAAAAAATACTTTGCCTCTGCAACTTTTTTTTGACATTTTTACTTTTAAACTTTCTTCACTTTTTTTTTTTTGAATTTTGTCAGTTTTGTCATCAATATTAAAAACATTTTTACATAATTAGCTTAAAAATCATCTGTGAATTAGGGTGGGTCAAAAATTTTATGAAACATTCTTAAAAACTTCTAACACTACCTAACAAACCTGGAAAAAATGTTTAATTTCACTAACACCCTCTACTAAAATGCAAACATTAACATGATCCTGCACTTCATTATAAGATATTTACTTATAAAGGGTGTTCAAACTTGAATTGTTTTTTTAATTTTTTAATATAACACCTAATTTTTTGAAATAAGCAGATATTTTTATTGAATATTAAAGTAGACGCATGGCAATTTATAATGGAAAAGAATATCAGATAAGTGACCACCTCTCAGATAAGTGACCAGCTCTGCAGGCCTCCAATTTTTTAGTACAATTTCCCAACACATAATTGTGGTTAAATTTGACACATAATTGTGGTTAAATTTGAGTAATTTGCTCATAATTGTGGTTAAATATAAAACACATAATTGTGGTTAAATTTGAGTAATTTGCTCAATTATGTTTTCTTACAGATGTTAAATGGTTTGAGGATTATTAGTGTAAACTTTGCTTTTCCCCAAAAGCAAAAACCTTTAAAAAAAAAAAAAAACTATCAAAAGAAATCTAATGGTGTTAGGTCACACGATCTTGGTGGCAAATTAACAGTTCTTCTTCAAGAGATTACTGGATAACCGAATTTCTTGTTCAAAAGATTGATCGATTCTGTTGCTGTATGACATGTTGCTGTACCACCCTGTTGAAAACACATACTCTGCACATCAATATGCTTCAATTTGTTAAACAATGAGTTACTAATTATAGCTCGGTAACGAGCACCATTCACAGTAACAGTGTGTCCAGTTTTATTTTAAAAGAAATATAGACCAATTAATCTACCAGACCAAAAACCATAGCAAACAGTTACTTTTTGTGGATGCAATTATTTTTCCAATATTACTCTTAGATTTTCTTTACAACAGATTTGACAATTTCGTTTGTTTACATACCAACCAGTCAAAATGTTAACTGTATTTTGTAAGGTTTTAGGTGAAGATCCTTATGCAACATATTGAATAAAGTGGTTTGCTGTAAACGATGATAAACTGATGTGTTTGTGATGTGTTTGGTTCTTCATTAACACTTTTACTGACAGCAATATTTTCAATATTCACAATATTTGTAATTTTTGTATTTTCAATATTTTTCAATTATAAACAACCACTACGACTTTAAACTTTATTTTTTTGATCTTGAATTGATCTTGAAGTTTTCTCAAGATCAATTCAAGATCAAAAAAATTAAAATACTTTGAACGGTAGAATTTTTTGGACAATTTCTTCTTCCATATTTTGTACGAAATTTTCCTCCAATTTTTGTATAATTTTCACTAAACTTAAAATGATTTTTAATAATGAAGACATGTTGTTCAGTTGTATATTTCTCTATATTTACTAAACGCAATGTTTATAATTGACAGCTGTCAATAAACAGAAACCATTTTATAAAAAAACAAATGGCACAAATTTAAAAAAGTTGATTCAAACTTGAACACCCTGTATATATTATGCTTAAATTACATTGTTTACACGCGTTTAAACACATTTGTTCTTTTGTTGTAGTTTAACTAAAATTGAAAATAAAAATGGCTAATAAAAATAATAATAAAAACGCAAAGTGAAACTGTATTCTTAGACAACCTAGACCACTCCAAACAAATCAACTGCCAACTTCTGATGTTTTCAAAGTATATGACTGTTTATTAAAAAACTGCAGTAATAATGAACAGTCAAAGTCAGATAAAGAATTTTTGCCAATTGAAATGTCATAGTTAGGAAGTGATGTCAAGTTAAGAAGTGATGTCAAGTGATAATGAAATGTGATATGAAAGTTTACAACACTAAACAATATACTGAGTTGGGTAAGGACATGGATATGTGTAAAACCAGTAACAGTGGTGCTTGCCTAATAGGAAATGTTGAACTAAAAGATTTAGATCTTCCAACACCAAAGAACGCTATTGATCTAGCAAAACTTCGTTGTTAGAGAAGTATGTAAAGGAAAAAAGAAATTGGAAAGCATGCTGTTGAAGTTGAAGAAGTACTTTGCATTGGATTTGATGGGAAGCAGGATATTGGTGAAATATTAAACCTGATAAAACAAGTGGCATCTGACAAAATTTCAGAAAAACAAAATTATGCGATAGTGTCATTTCCGAATGTCAATTATGTAGTAAAGCTGTTGATATTGCACAGGAGATATTATTGAGCATCAACAACATCAAATCATCAGACACATTAGCAGCAGTTATTTGCGATGATGTTGTAAATAACACAGGTTAATACAATGGAGTAATCAAAAAATAAGAAGGTCTTGGGAAAACATTGCAATGGTTGGTCTGCTTGTTACATGCAAATAAACTACCTTATAGAAAATATTTCTTTGTTCTGGATGGTGGACGCTAAAGAAGTCCAGCAACTTCAACAACTAAAATAGGCATAGCACTAGATTTTGATCTAAAAGATTTAGTTATCGTGAACTTTAAACATATACCTGGTAAAGTTGAGTACGTAAGTGTTAAGAAAGATTTAAGCTCTGGTCAGATATACATTCTTGAAGCTTGCTTAGCTGTTCAGTAGGAATACACTGCTGGTGATCAAATATTGTTCTTCCAGACTGCTATACCAGGAAATCCTTACTATGTGAGGTGGTTAACAAAGGTGACTAGGTAAGGAAGACTAAAAAATTCTTGAACCAGTATAGCAAAACTGTTATTTTGTTTATCCTGAGAATATTCTTTTTGGAGGACTTACAGATTAAAATGTATCAACTCATCATTTTCCGTACAACAAAATAATTGATGCATGAGCTACATCACAAAGTAGCAAAGTGTCTTTGATAAATCAAGCATCAATTTTTGGTCACAAATCACGACGAATGATTTTGCTCAAAATCTCTAGTAGAACTACCAAAAGCTCTCCATAACAAATAGCAAATAACTGAAACAGTTTGCTGTTATGTTGCCTACCACACTTGGACTTTATCTCCTTTAACAACTGCTCACAATATCAAACTTAATGTAACGAGATGTCGAGTAATGGAACATAGAAATGTGTATTTACATTAAACAATTATACAGTAATTTTAATTCGCAAAGTTGCGGATCCAAGACATGCTCTCATTTTATTTCAAAACAAGTTTTTTCATAAGTTTTTTCATAAATTTCAAAACAAGTTTTTTCATAAGTTGACTATAATGTAACTTTTTAGTAATGTTTTACAGCCCAACTTAACATTTACAACATAATGACCCACCCTAATGTGAATAAAGTTTTGATTCATATTGTTGCAGGAATAAATTTTTTTTTTTTTTTAATTTTTCAATATAATATATTAATTGTTTCATATTACTAAATGTTGTCATTTTAAAAAAAAATAGGTAAAAATAAAATATAAAAACAACTAAAAAAAAAATTTAAACAAAAAAGTAGTTTAAATAAAAATCATAAATAAAATAACCTTTTTATTGACCCATTGAACAATTTCAGCATCTTTAGTTGGAGCTCCAGCTTTGCTTAATTTGTTAATCATTTCTATACTATAATCACGCAACATCTGCCAAACCAATGCTTAACAAAAAAATGAAACAAAAATGAATTATTTTCACATATTTTGTTTATAATGTTTAAGTATTAATTCTCTTAAAAATTAAACTCATTTATTAAGTGTAGCTTATAACATATATATATATATATATATATATATATATATATATATATATATATATATATATATATATATAAGTATCGTAATATATGTAACTTACGTTACATATATTACGTTTATTTTTGTAAAATTAAAAGAAGAAAATATTTCGTTTATTGTTTATTTTGTTGACTAATTTTTTTACTTATATATATATATACATATATATATATATATATATATATATATATATATATATATATATATATATATATATATATATATATATATATATATATATATATATATATATATATATATATATATACATATATATATATATATATATATATATATATATATATATATATATATATATATATATATATATACATATATTAGGGTGCATCACAAAAAATTTTTTTTTAATATTGATCTGTCTATTATCTCAAGTTGTTCCAATCACCAAAAGATGCAATGTGTTAAAAAATAAATTTTATTAGACAATATTTAGAGGTCCCCCATGCCCTAACAAGTTTCACCTTATTTACCAAAATTAAGTGCTAAATAATTTTTTTATAATTATTAGCTTTGTCTTTATATTTATGTTCTTTGGCTACCATGATTGAAAATGTAATTTTATAAACATAGTCAAGTCTTCTCAAAAAATCAAAATAAAATTTAATTATATATTAGTTAACCCAGTCCAGTGACAATTGGTAAATTTACAATTCCATTAAATATATTAATTTCTGCATTATTTTGTGTATATACATATTACATGCAGTAAATCAGTAATTCATTGTTTATGTAGATACTATAATTGTATAATGTATACTGTATATATATAGTTAAACCTATGAGACATGTTAGGCATTACCTAAGCAATGTTAAATATCTGTAATGTTGTGCAATCCAATAAATAATAATTCAAATAATATTCCAAAAAATGAATAATAAATTACACAAAATATTCAAATAATTTGCTAATTTGATAAACCAAGTTCATAACTTAATAACAACAGTTACAACACTATTCTCTTTTTTTAGAACCCTAATTCCTTAAAAAACATGAATGAAGCAGTTGAAGCTGAAGTTGAGCCAACAACACCTAAGCAGCCCAAATTTGACAATAATTCGTCATCATCTGGTAGTGCAAGTCGCCGAAATACTCCTGTCTTGGACTCAAAAAAGAAGCCACAGACTCGTAGAGCTACAGAGGTGTTTGGTATAGGTGCTGCAATCTGTGCTGATGATGCACTAATCACTGGTATCCGATTGCCAACCTGCTTGCAAGTTTTGAGATGCATGATGTATCACAGTAAAGAGGCTACCCATGGTAAGCGACCAGGATCACTTGGTGCAACATCAAGATTCACATCTGCCAAGATAGTTCTGAAACAGGTTAAAGCTTTGTATGAAAAAGCCAACATCCCAATGGTCACCGAGCGTAGAGCATGCGAAAAAATAGTGAAACTTCTTGATGATAACAATAAACTTTGTTCGATCGATAAAAGTCGCCGTGAAACACCTGCAACTCAGCACAAGCTTTTTGAGATGCAGTCCATGTTGGCAACAACTTTCCAACTCTGGCCGGCCAACGTGGATAGTCTTATGAACAATGATGAAGATCTTGCATTCCTGCAGTCAATGAAAACTGATAGAGCCGCAAGTTTTGGGGTATTTGACAAGGCGCTTGCTCAGAAGATAAATCAGCATCATTGTCGTGATGTTGCAGCATTAGGACGCCTGAAGCGTGCTCGTGGTGAGATTGAAGCATCAACCAAGACTGTGTTGCCAGAAGTTGTAACTGACGAATGTAGTGATGAGTCAAGCAAGTCTGCTTCTGAAGATGACATGGAATCAGAATTTAGATCTCCATCAAAAGAAATGGAGCTACAAAAACCAAACCGTATAAAACCGAAAGGAACATTGTCATTCATACCACCAGATTTGCTAAGCCGACCAAAGCTTGTGTCATTAGCAACACATCTGAAGATGACGCCAACACAACAATCTGCATTCACACAAGGAGTCATAGCTGAGTCTGGTGGCGATGTATCTATGGTTGCTTCTTCGTATGCAACTGCAGATCGCGCACGACGCAAGGTTGTACGCAAAATTTCTATAGAAATTCAATACAATAGCTGGGAACCACCAAAACTCTGTACTCTGCATTGGGATGGAAAGCTGACACCAACTCTAACAAATAATCGTGTCACTGAAGAACGCATGACGGTGGTTGTTGGTGATACATTGCAGTTGAAGCTACTGGGAGTGCCTAGTTACTTCAAGGGTACAGATCAATCTGTTGGAGAAATCATTACCAAGCTAATAATGAACCTAATGATTGAGTGGCATTGTAATGATCGAATTGTTAATATGACATTCGACACAACGAGATCAAATACAGGTCACCTAACTGCAGCTTGCATTGCCATTCAAGATAAGCTGGAATGTGCTGTCCTCTGGTCAGGATATCGTCATCACATTGGTGAAGTATTTCTATCTCACGTGTTTACTGACCTCAAGATCGAAGCATCAAAATCACCAGAAGTCACAGTGTTCACAAGGCTACGAAGTAACTGGAATTTAGTGCCACACGACTCATCTCAAATACTGCCATTTTGTCCAACTGGTCATGACGTGGAGGCCCAACAGCTGCTGTCGAAGATGAAGGATGAGGTGATCGCTCATGCAATTGAAGATGTAGATTGCTTGCGTGATGACTACCGTGAATTCACAGAGCTCACACTTGTTTATTTATCTTCTTCCAAGGTTGAAGTAAAATTCCGAAGGCCAGGTGCTCTTCACAAGGCTCGTTGGATGGCAAAGCTAATCAACGGCCTGAAAATTGCACTTCTAGAGAAACATATTGCGGAACTACCAGCAGGAACTATCACTACTCGTCACCAAGTGCGGAAGATACGAGCATTCACTACGTTTATTACTCATGTTTACAGTGTGTGGTGGCTCACATGTAGGAACACGGTTGATTCCCCATACAATGATTTACAGCTTTACAAATGTTTACTAGAGTACGAGACTGTGGACAAGGTGATTGTGCAGTCAGCAATTCGAGCTCTGAATCAGCACCTGTGGTATCTCACTGAGGAAATGGTGCCACTTGCACTGTTCAGTAAGCTTGTACCATCAACGGAACGACGAGCTCTTGCAGATGCCTTGCTCAAATTGAAACCATCAAGTGATCTGCAAGCTCCAATGAATTGATTTGGCAACGGATGGGGCAAGCCACATTTTTCATTGTCCATTGATCATAGAACACAACTGGGTGATCTGGTTGGAGTTGACTCCTGGTTTACAGTTTACTGTCTACAATTAGACACCAGCTTTCTGGAACTTTCGGTCAATGAATGGGAAAAGACACCTGCTTACATTGCCGGTGTTGAAAATTGTGCAGCAGTGAACGTGGTGAATGATTGTGCCGAGAGGGGTGTCAAGCTGGCATCGGACTTTGTTGAAACTGCACGATCGGATGAGCATTATCAAAACGTTCTTCAAGTGGTCGAGAAAGATTGGAAAGAGACACCAAATTTGCGACGCAAACGATGCAAGAAGGAATAAACATTAACAGTTTATCTAATTTTTGATTCATTTGACATCTTTCTACTACTATTAAAACAAATAAAGATTCATTACTATAGTTAATTAGTCATTAATTAGACCTTAAACTGCAATGAGGATTGAATTTTATTAAAAAAGAACTGACTATTAGTCATAGTAGTCAATGATTTTTGCATTTTTTGGTTAATGATTTTGTGCTTTTTGTAGAAAAAATTGAATAGAAAATGATTTTGGTGATCTCAATTTGGTTTTATCTGTTCAGTTGCCTTCATTATACAATTAAAACAATTTAGGTTTATTACTATAGTCATTATTCTCATTAAAGGACAATAAGTATTGAATTTTATGAAAAAACTTACTAGTCGATCGACTTTGTGTCTTGCGGTTGGTTTCCTGGATTTCAAATTCTCATGGGGGACCTCTAAACTTACTCAGATTTGGAAAATATTTCACTCAAGTTATTATTATTCACATTGGAACACATTGGAAACACAGACAGCTCAAAAATAAACAACTAATTTTTTGCCCTAATGTGGTGATGCACCCTAATATATATATATATATATATATATATATATATATATATATATATATATATATATATATATATATATATATATATATATATATATATATATATATATATATATATATATATATATATATATATATATATATATATATATGAGCAATTCCGTTTTTAAATTATGTTACACACGCAACAACATTATCAAATATTTACCTATTTAAATTGTAAATTAAACTTTTAGCAGTTAGTCTAAGCTAAAAAGTTTTGAGTCAACGGAGGGCTTAATAACTGAAAATGCTACTTAACTTATTTTACACAGAAAACAAGGTAAAAAAAGTGCTTCAACTTTTAGGTCAGATTTCTACAAATCAGTAAAGCGGTTTGTATTAGAAACTTTCACAAGATGTTAAGAATTCTATGCCAATTTAAAAAATATATAAAATTTTATCAGAGGTGACCGGCTAAAGAAAATAAACTAGTTTTTTTGATAATATATATTTAACTTACGTTACATCACTTACGTTACCGAGCGATATTTATCATGGATTTTTTTATTTATTATTCTGAGTTTTATATCTGTAATTAATAGTTAATAATATATATTTAACTTTTTAAAGTTAAATATATATTATCAACTATTAATTACAAACCGTAATTTTTGAAAGCATAAAAATGAATTAAAATAATTTTAACACTAAAGGTATATTTTAAATATACTTTTATTTGTCTACATCAATATTCATTTGCTAAAAGTTAAAGAAACTTTTGTTATAAAAAGATTTTAGTACCTCTGTCATTAAAATCATTTGTTTTAAATATATTTCAACATGATTATTTAAACTAAGTTTTTTTATTTGATTTCCTAAACTTTATGCAAAGCAAATTCAGACAAAATATTGTCTAACCAAATAAAAATGCTGTTAAAACCATAACTTTTGGAGGCATAAAAATGACTTAAATTAATTTTAGTATTAAATTTATATGCATTTAAAATAAACTTTCATGTGTCTATATCAGTATTCATTTGCTAAAAGTTGGCAAAAAAGAGAATAAAATTTGACTACTTTTTGATTTTTCACTGTGAATTGCCCATATATACACACACATGTGTGTGTGTGTGTGTGTGTGTGTGTGTGTGTGTGTGTGTGCGTGCGCATATATATATTTGGTTGTATATATAATAAGAATTTTTTTAAATGAATATTATTTTGAAATTTTTATATAATTTTGCTTCATTTGAGTACCAGGTTGATATACTTTTGAAAAACATTTTTTTTGTAAATATTAGGAACCCATTAAATATTTGAGGGTCTTAGGGGACCACTTAAAATACTTTTTAATTCGAAAAAATTTTAAACCTAGTGTCTTTGTATTAGATAGAACATTTTAAGGGATGGGAGCAGATTATTTTCAAAAATGTTGTTTTTTGGAACACCCTGATATACATACGTGTATATCAGTAAAGAACTTAGATGTATATATGAACAAAAGTAAAAAATATCACTCCTTGTAAATATCGCGCAAGTTTAATTTTTAAATGAATGAACTTTTGATCTTTAGCTTGCTATTTTAGTTTATATAAGGAAAACGAAAAAACGAAGTATAACCTTTTTCAGACAGTTTTTTTTCCTTTCTATGTTCTATTTAAAATAATAAAAAAAAAAGGTTTCAATAACTTAATAAAAGTTTTATTTAGATCTGTTTAAAATAACCCATAGTAAATGTAATTTATTTATTCAAATGTAATTTTTTAAATTATTCTTAATAATTAAAAATATATATTTTTTAAAATATAAGTTTTTAAAAATATAATATGGTTTTTAATCAAAATAATAGAACATTTTTAAAATTATGTTTACTGTAATTATCTCTTTAATTATCTTTAATTTAAAAAGCGCCTTAAAATCACTTTAAAAATTATAACCTTTAGTAAAAGTTAAATGAACAGATTTAAATCAAAATTTTAAATTTAAAATAATAGAAAATAAGTTTATTAAATGCTTATGTTTTGATTTGAATAGTTTATTAAATACGTTTATTAAATGCTTATCAAATTTGTTTATTAAATGCTTATGTTTTTAATTTAAATAGAAGATGTAAAACTATTTTGTTAATTTTACAAATATCACGCGATATAATGTATGTAAATATATGTAAATGTAATGTAAATATTGATTAAAAATTGTTTAATATATTTTTTAATTATTATTTTAAATTAAATTTACTAAAATATAGTTAATAACTGTTTAAAATACTTTAAACAATTTTCAATAACTATTTTCTAATATCGTGGTATATGCAACAAAAGCGTTTATTAAAATCTTAGGTAGAATAGTTTTCTTTTAGCTGAAGTAACATTGTCCACCAGTTGTAAAGTAACATTGTCCACCAGTTGTAAAGTAACATCGTCCACCAGTAAATTCATGTATTTAAAAAATACCTTTAAATCAACACCTTATTATAGGATAAAACTGAACAAGATTAACATAAATGATTATTAAGAAAATGATGATTAAAAATTATTGTTGCAACACTCGCTTAACTAGGGAAGAATGAGGGAGTGGGGGAAATCAAAAACATTATTCCCCCCCTCCCCTTAGCGTTGCTGGAAGAAAAAAAAAACGGTGTCTCCAAACAAACTCTAGGTTCTTTACTGTATATATACATATGTGTATTAAGTTTTATTTTCAGAATTTTTAACTGAAATTTCAGAATTTTTAACTGAAACTTTTTATATTAGGAGAATTAAAAAAATTAAAAAAAAAAAAAATTGCTAATTAAAATTATTTATATTATTGCTTTTTTATTTGTCTATGTATTCTTATTTTAGTTAACATATAAATAAATAAAATATATACAGCCCTCGGAATTGATAAAAATATTTAACCTGTGTGAGGTAAGCATCAGGTTGTAAATGTAAAACAAAGCTTTATGTTGTAAATGTAAAACAAAGGTTTGACCATAAAACATTAAGGTTTAACCATTAACCACAAACAAAAAGGTTGGCATTGCTGAATGTCGACCCTAATTTTGAGGGTTATATATATATATATATATATATATATATATATATATATATATATATATATATATATATATATATATATATATATATATATATATATATATATATATATATATATATATATATATATATATAGAGCTCTCAGAATTAGGGTCATCATTTGGCAATGCTGACCTAAAAGTGTTTAAGGTTGGCGAAAAAAAAATGCTGTGTTTCATGGTTAAACCTTAGTTAAACATTTTTTCTACCGACCTCGCACAGGTTAAGGTTGGCAAATTTGTTGACCTCATTTTTCCTAATCCAGTGGGCTGTGCATATATTCATATATATGCACAGTAAACATCTTTTGATTAATGAGAAGTATTGTGTTTTGATTTGTTGAATTAGAATTTTTGATAAATTTTGATAAACAGCATTTTTTTTCCTGAATAATTTATTTATGAGTTTTTACATTTTATATAAAACATTTTTTTTTCAAGTTAAACTTATTAAATAACTTTTAAAATAATTAACATTCATATTCAATTATTAGCATTGTTCACACACAAAACAAAAAATTAAATATATTTTGAAAATAAATACCCAAAACAAGTGTATGTGTTTCATTATGAATGTCTTCTCCACCAATCCCAACCAAGGAATACTTGTTTGCTTTTCCGAGCTCAATAACGTAGTTACAATTTTCAACCTTTTTCATTTTACCTCCAATTGCTTTAAATGGCGCCTTGTTAACTTTATCCCAATTAACAGTTCCACTTCTTATGGCATCAAAAAGCTAAGTATAAATATTTCAGCTGGTAAAAGGATCTTATGATGTTAATTTTTTTTTAATTCTAAAATTTCGGTAAAATATACTCCTTATAACTACAATTAACCTTCTTCAAAACAATTTTACAATAAGATAAAATTATTATGTTTTTAACATATTTACAATATGTTAAAAACATGATAAACAAATAAACTTCAAAAGATAGGACTTTAATTTACATTATGTTAGTTTTATTTAATAAAAAATAACATATTTCACAAAAATTATAAAAAAAATCTTAATTTGAAAACAAACCTGAAAGAGCACAAGACCATTATTGAGCCCATTATAAAGATGATTAACAAATGGGCTTACACCAAGACTGTTCATCCAACATCGATAAGCTGAAAAAATGTAAATTATTAAACAGAAATAAAAAAATTAGCAAAAACAAACACTTGCAGTTTGTAAATATCAGACATTATTAGATTTATTATATTAGAGAATTTTTGTATTCTTAGTTGGTTTAGAAAACTATTTTATGAAAAATATAATGACATCACGATAAGTATTACCTATATCATAATAAGTATTACAAATATAATGATAAGTGTTTTAAACATAATGATAAGTGTTTCAAACATAATGATAAGTGTTATGTATATCAAGATAAGTGTTACATATGTTATGATAAGTGTTATTATATAATTATTATATAATTGTTATTATTTTTACTATATATAAATGTCAAACATTATTAAAAACAAGCTTAACAATTTTTTGTTGATGACTGTGAAAAAAAAAAAAAAAAAACTGCAACTAATGAATGCAAAAAAAAAAAAAAGACTGCAACTAATGATAGTTAATAAAATCACTTCATGAAAATAAAATAAAATTACCAATAAAATCACTTCATGAGTTAAAACTAACAAATCACTTTATGAACTAAAACCAGGGGTGTGAAGTTGGATTCCAGAGTACAGGTGTTCCCGGTTTTAAGGCAAAGTCTGGAGTCCCGCACCATCGTAAAAAATGTTGGTACTCTATTCTTTTTAAAATTTTATATCAGCATATTATCATTTCCTAACAAACCCTTGCTAACTTCTATAAGTTTATTAATTTAAAATTTAGCCAACAGTTAAGTAACTTTAAACCAGTAAAAACACTGGCGTATTAAATTTCACTGTGTATGGTAAGCCCTCTGGCATTTAAATTATTCAAAAATGTGCAGTGTATTTAAGGGATATATTGTCTATGGCATACATTACATTTAAAGAATATTAAAGGCAAATCACAGCATAAGCTGTTAATAAAACCTTTAGTAAACTAGATGCCAAATTATACTTAGGCACACCCTCAAACCTGCGTTGATGCCAATAAAAAAAGTATTTTTTTAACATGCTTTCCTAATGAAATTGTTTAACTAATAGATATGGTTTTACTGATAAAAAAAAGTATAAAAACACAGCCATAGCATCAAATTAGTCAGGAAAGGATGACTGTTATCTATAGATTTTGTAAAATAACCTGAGCTTTTTGAGGTAACCAGACTGAGAGTGCATCAATTATTTTTTTAATGGCTTTTTCTAGCGCAGATGTTGGATAATTTGTATAAATTTGATGGTGTTATAGCTGTTATTTGTGAGAAACAGACCTCAGTTTAGTTCAAATGTTAGGCTACCTAATTTTTCTTAACCAAAGTGAAGAAAAGTATATTTATGTGTCTGTTTTGCAAGAAACAATGTATACCGCAAGATGACTTGTCACCCCAATCCCAAACACAAGGATACAATTATTGATAAGCAATTTAGTAAAAAGTAAAAGAAAGCAGAGGTTATTCTTAGCCCTTTTATCACCCTGTTATCACCCTGTTATCTTCATTGTATAAGGTTTCAAAATTATTTAGTTTAGATTATAAAAAAAGCTTGCTAAAGATGAATTCTACCCTGCTATAAGCTGAATTTAAAAATTTACAACCAAGTAAGATATTTCAAGTATCAATGAAGTCATTGCAGATTAGTCTCTAGAAAAAAATGTAACTAATTTATTTGATGGAAATGCTGAAAAACTTTGATTCTGAAAAATGTTTTTTGAAACTCAGAGTTCTTTTAAAAACCTTAGCTAAAGGTTAAGTTTTGAAGTAGCAAATCTTGTCTTTGTTTATCAGAGTGGATCCTCCTTTATCAATGATACTATAACGCTTGCGCATGTATCCCAATACATTACTAAAAAAAATAAATTCTATTATGACTTAGAGGGAAAATTTTTCAGGTATCTCTTTTTTTAAAAAGTGTTCATTTTTGCCTGGTGCTAAATGTGCATGATCATCTCTGTATTTACAAGTTCCAGTTTCCAGACTAGTTATATACTATGACCATGATGAAAGTTATATTTTTCAGTCTTAACAAGTCATTTTCTTAGCTATAAAGTCTTTTTAAACACAGTTAGGAAATGTCATTTTATAAGTGCAGCAAGTGATGCCTAATAATATGTCTGAGCACATTAATAAAATAAAATTCAAAATATTTTTTGAGTTGTTACAACTTATCTTTTATATTAAAAAAAAACGCATTACATTATTATTTATGATTTAAATGGGCATTTAATTTATAAGTTATTATGAAAACTATTTTTATAATAGGTTTAATAGTTAGCAATTTAACTTAAGTAATTTTTGGAAGGTTATAAAATAGGTAATAGCCAAAGCACGAAGCAGTTGAGCATGGTAATCAAACAAATTGAGTACAGTAATTGAACTTCTAACAAGCTAAGGGTTCTACCACTACACCACTACCTCATGTAAATGTATACACACACATACATATATATCAACCCTCGGAATTAGGGTCGGCATTGCCAAATGCCAACCTAACTGCTGACCTAAAAGTGTTTTTTATTTTTTATGGTAAGAACTTTGTATGTTTTATGGCAAGAACTTTCGCCGACCTCTAAAAGATTGAGGTTGGCAAGTTATTGCAGACCTCATTTTTCCTAATTATAAGGGTTAATATATATATATATATATATATATATATATATATATATATATATATATATATATATATATATATATATATATATATATATATATATATATATATATATATATATATTTGAAGAGTTTTTCTCAAGTTTCAATTCTCTTTTAGATAAACATGCATCATTAAAAAAAGTCAGCAATCGCTGCTTATCAAGGGGTCTCAAACCTTGGATAACACGAGGAATCTTGACTTCTATTAAAATGCGAAATAAAATATTTAACAAATTTCTTAAAGCAAAGAATCCTAATAACAAACTCAATCTAGTAAAATCTTATAAAACATATAGAAACTTACTTGTTACTCTCACCCGTCATAGTAAAAAGAACCATTAGGGGAGAGCGGGGTTGGTTGTCACACTTTTTACATTTTAGGCTGCTCAGCTTTTAATTTTCATCCAATCAATGCCAAACTTTGCACAAAGCTAATTTAACTATTTCCAGTAACTATTATAATATTTTTATGACATTGAGTGAAATATTTATTGCTGTAAAATCATTTTTCAAAGACCACTTCTGTGTGACAACTAGCCCCGCTCACGGGGTAGGTTGTCACATGGTGCGGGGTTGATTGTCACATTTGGATTTTGACAAGTTTAGATAAGAATTTAATGTAAAACGAGTACAAATTAATTTCGTTTATGTTTTACTAAGAAAAACAAAAATAAAATACTATAAACTGAAATATATATATTTTAAATATAACACAATTAACAAATTTAGTTTATCACTATAAATGTTTTTAGGTTTGGTTTTTTAAAAATTATTGGATAAAGAACACAATTCACAAATAAACTGTTGTAAGCCTGGTGTGCATTCTTCATGAGCCCATTTTTGGCAAACCTGACATTGAATCCACTGTTCTCTTGATCGGCTGTTGGAAAATGATTCAAAACAATAGATGCACAGATACTCTTTATCTTCAGATGAATGACTATAGAAGGTTTTTTCGTAGCAAGATTTGCTTTTATTAATTCTTTTTTACTTCCATTAGTAAATTTTTTTTTATTAGTTTTCTTCTTTTTATAATTAGCAAGCCATGCTTTGACAGGCGTGTTAGTAAGAATCATAGTTGACCGCTTTTTCCTACCTCTTTTTGATGCTAACCTCAGACCTGCTTTAGGCAGAGGCCTAATACTCTCAGGTGGTATGATTGAATTGTTAAAACCTAATGTTGTGATTGGGTTCTGATTAGGGGTTTTATTTAATACAACTGGATCTTCTATTGTTATGTCTACCTGATTACCTGGTATCTGAATAGATTCTTTAAATCTTTTATTTGATGGTTCTGGTTGCATTGAATAAGATTCACAGTCTTTTTTATTTGAATCAGCCTGTGAACAAGGTGGGTCAGGGCGATCAGTTACATAGTTAGGACAGTAATCAATTTCAGTAAACACATCAGGATTTAACGGGTAAATACCTGTTGCAGAAAAACCACTTAAAATATTGTGGGGAGATACAGCCTTTGGAAATGCAATGTTTACTATTTTTGGAATATCATATATTGTAACAGTTTTTCCAGGATTCATTACTAACCATGATGTCATAGCAGTATTTATGTAGTTTTTGAGAGGACCATAAACTGCCTTATCCAAGGGCTGCAATTTATGTGTGCAATGTGGTGGGAAGGTAAGCATTACTATTCCATTATTTTTTGCCAAATCTAATCCTTCAATACTAAGATGAGTTTCGTGATTGTCAAGCAACAATAAACAAGGCTTTTCTTTAGTACATTTTGTATTGCCTACAAAATGTTTTAGATATTTTACAAAGTTTTCTTCTTTCATCCAACCACTTGGATTTGCATCTCCTGCACTTCCTGTTGGTGCACTGATTAGGAAATGATCTTTAAAGTTTTTACGAGGAAAAATAAAAAAGGGTGGAATACTATTTCCAATAGCATTTATTGTGCATGCTAATGTTACAAGAGTTCCTCTTTCAGCTGACGTGATGGCTCCTACTTGTTTTAATCCTTTTTTCGCAATAACCTTTTTAGGTTGCTGTACAGTAGTTACAGCAGTTTCGTCCATGTTCCAAATGTCATTTGGTGAGAACGAGTATTTTTGCATACAGTGCTGCAAATTGCTAAAAAATGATGCAACATTCTGCTTATTGAAACTTGTCGCTCGACTTAAACTAGTAGCTTCAGGTTGCCTAATGGAAATATTTGAATGGCGCTTTATAAATCCTGTAAACCAATCCTTACCAGCTTGTTCCTTTACAACCCAAGAATTGGGAACCTTCATATTATTTTTAATTGCTAGCTGGAAAGCAAGCTTTTTTACTTCGGTAGGAGTTAAACCAAAATATATATCTGCTGCTCGCAACAGGTAGGTGACCAGTTCTTTTTCTACTTTTTCTGGC